CTCCTTAGTGATGACCCCTCCTTTCCATTGGGAGTAAGCCTCCTTTTTGGCAAGGAGACATTCCCGGATGTTTTTAGTGAGCCATGGAGGCTTATATGCTCTCCTGCCCCCTTTGACCCTCCTGGGGATTACCTTCCTCTGGGCTTGGAGGATCGTCTCCTTAAGGAGCGACCACTCCCCTTGGACACCCGGCTCCCCTCCCCTCTGAGTCTTCAGCGTTTCTCCAACTATCCTCCTAAGCTTCCTCCAAGCACCAAGTCTTGCATGGTGTGAATGAATGGCCTCATTAAGGACAAAAATAAGATATTACATCAAAAAATCCTTGCTTCTTGCATATTTCTTGGACAAGCGTGGCTACAACCTCATTCCAACATTACCACTCTTGCAGTTACAGTGGCAGTACAGACTAGCAGCTGCTGAAATCCACTGGTAGTCCTGGAGTTTTAAAAAAATTTTATAGCCTTGTTTAGTTGACTTCTGTTCTCATTTCCTGAGTAGGCCTTCCTAGATACTGAGGGTGTTTGTACATGTGCTCCGGGAGCAGGGATGGGGTGCTTTAATTATAGCGGCTCTGAGAGCCACTCTAATTAAAGTGCCCAGAGTATCTTGTGTACCAGTGTCCCTGCACTTCAAAATGGTGATAGGGGCAGTTTATCTAAAGCTTGTTGAATGAGTGTTAGTTTCATAGTTTCAGTTAGTAGGGTTGGAAGGGACCTGAACAGATCATCAAGTCCGACCCCATGCCATGGCAGGAAACGACCCCAAACGACCCCAGCAAGGTGATTGTCTAGCCTTATCTTAAAGACCCCCAAAGTAGGAGCCAGCACCACTTTTCTTGGAAGTTGGTTCCAGATCCTAGCCGCCCTGACAGTGAAGTAGCACCTCCTGATGTCTAATCTGATTTTACCCTCTGCCAGCTTGTGACCGTTATTTCTAGTCACTCCTGGTAGTGCTCGGGGGAACAGGGACTCCCCCAATGCCTGCTGGTCCCCTCTGACTAGTTTGTAACAGGCCACTAGATCCCCCCTCAGCCTTCTCTTGTGGAGGCTGAACAGGTTCAGGTCCCGTAGCCTCTCCTCGTAGGGCCTGCCCTGCTGCCCCCTGATCATGCGAGTGGCCCTCCTCTGGACCCTCTCCATGTTGTCCACATCCCTCCTGAAGTGCGGCGCCCAGAACTGGACGCAGTACTCCAGCTGCGGCCTGACCAGTGCTGCATAGAGGGGGAGGATCACCTCCTTGGACCTGCTTGAGATGCATCTGTGGATGCATGACAAGGTGCGGTTGGCCTTCCTGACTGCCTCCCCACACTGCCGGCCCATGTTCGTCTTGGCATCAATGATGACTCCAAGATCCTTTTCTGCCTCTGCACTGACAAGAAGGGAGTTCCCCAGCCTTTAGGTATGGTGCTGGTTCTTCCTCCCCAGGTGCATCACCTTGCACTTGTCAATGTTGAATCCCATCCTATTCTCATCCGCCCACCCCTGTAACCTGTCTAGGTCCAATTGTAGCCTATTCCTTCCTTCTAACATGCCCACATCCCCCCACATCTTAGTGTCATCAGCAAATTTGAACAGGGTGCTTTTTACCCCCTCATCCAAGTCACTGATGAAGATGTTGAACAGTGCGGGCCCGAGGACCGAGCCCTGCGGAACCCCACTGCCAACATCCCTCCAGGTCGAAAATGACCCATCCACCACCACTCTCTGGGTGCGGCCCTCCATCCAGTTGGCGACCATTTGACTGTGTAAAAGCACCCCTGCTGCCATTTTGAAGCATGTGGATGCTGATATACGAAATGTGGGGGCTGGCTGGAGCACGATAATTACCATGTTCCAGCAGACTCAATTAATTGAGCCTGCTCCAAAGCACTGTAATTAAAGCATGTCAGAGCAGCCTCCTGGCTCATGTACAGGCACCCTGAATTCCCACCATTCTCTTATTAAATCTGTTTCTTGTTCCTGAAGTCAAAGCAACAGCAAAGATGAGACTAATCTTAGGAGGCACATTTCAACATTTTTTCAATATGGTTAAGAGAATAAAATGGAACGAGGAAGATGTGGCTGAAAGAAATATACCTACTGGAAAAGTATGCGGGTAGGGTGTTTATTCATGCCTGCTGGTTAGCAAAAATAAATACGGTTTTGATAGCAAAACCTTTTGCATATCATCCCAACCTTGAGTGAGGCCTTTGGTTGCTACCATAATATCAATAATATTCTTACTTCTGCTACTGAAGAAACTACCAGCCCTGCCCATGCCATGCAGTTGTGTGCATTGAGAATGACGTTATCACTCACATTGTGGCAGCCACCTCAGGGCCCTGTTACACTTTGCATTTTAAGCTTCTCAAATACTGGGCGATGTTAGTGTTAGTTCAAGTTTACAGTAGTTACACTCTCAGGCTAAAAACCTTCTCTGATGGTTTCTACCTGCACAGCTGTGACTCGCCAGTAGAGGGCTGGTGAGCAGCAGGGGCCTGACTAGGAGCTACAGTTGTGCATTGTCTACACAGAACAGAAAGATGGGAGAAGGGGACATGGTATCGTGGGATATTGGAGGACTGAAACTTGGGCAGCTTCCCTCTGGGGACTGGGCACACATTTGTGGAACACAAACTGGGACACATGGATCAGAGATAAACACACCCTGAAATGGTGTAACTTTTAGACACCTAAAGCGTGCTTAAAACTAGTTTACACATTTTAATATGTGGACAATTCAGGGGTTAAGAGCTCCTTGAGTTGCCTAAAATGAATGTGTAACAATGCCCTCTCTATCATAAGAAATTCGACATCCAGAAAATGTGCAGACCTTGACACATGAAGTACAGAGTAAAGACGACACAGGGTGTGTTACAGTCTTCCATAACCCAACAATTTATTTAAAATTGAATCACAATGAGAGTCTGTTAATAAAATACATTATTTCACACCAGTTTGCATTGCCATTGTATTTTTTAGAGTTAGCATCTCTCTTTACTTTATATTAAAAACTTTATAGAGTTATAAAAGAACTACTGTACTGTATCAACAGTAGCTGAAATCTACTGTAACATTAGGCAGGTAAGAGGAAACTTCTAGTTAGCTAACACTTGAGTTAACCTTGCATTTTTGGCACCTCTGAATCTTTCTTCCTTGAACAAGAAAATTGGTTCCATATCAAGCCAGTAAAATCACTGACATGAACAATGGCAGTGATTGTCACCATTAAGTGGCAAATGCTGCCTAAAATCATATAAAATGCACTTTTTGATAAAAAATAGAAATTCTGATTTTTTTCATCGGAGTGCTTAGCATTTGAACACAATGACAGCACACCTCCCACCCCTTATTGTGTTATGGCTAATGTCATTTTGCTGTGAGATTTCAATTAGTATTTCAGTCTTAGATATTTTAAACAGGAAGTTGATTACTTTTGTGCTGGCCATGAGGGTCACCCCCCATCCCCTCAGGTGTCTGTTCAAAAGGAAGCTTTAACTGTTCTTTGAATGAAATGATTGAACACATTTTGAGGCACAATATCCCTTCATGATTTAGCAGTTTACTGGCTGTCAATCATACAAAGGAAATTTTAAAACATTAAGAGCATTGAAACTCAGTGATCCACTGATAAAGCCTGGAGTCCACTTTCCTGGGATAAAGGTGACTTTTGCATTAGAAATAAAAGGGATTCACAAGGCATGTAGCATTGTGAATTATTGTGCCAGGCCTGTGTTTACGCAACAGTGCAGTTGCTTTTGTAAATATTTAGAATTTATAAACTGTTTTTTCCCCCTTTCTTCACATTATAAACTCCAGCTGCTTCTATCTTTATATATTATACTCAGCATTAAAAAGAAACCCATGCTATTTTTAACTGCTTTTTTTGGCTTGTAAGCTATATTATTCCAGTGAGTTTTTGGCACAATATCTAGGGAGTGTTCTATGTAACTGAGTGCAGACTCCATGTACCAGTCTTTATTATTGTATTGCTTACTTGCTTTCTGACTGAACTACCCCTGGAGTCACAAAGAAATTGGAATATTCTACTGTGGGGTGAAACATATTTTAATTAGAACTAAAAGCATCTTATGGCTTTGGTTCCAAAGGGACAAGGATTTTTCCGACAGCATTGGCCAGTACGTTTTCTTTTATGGAGAAGAAAATGCAAGTTTGTATGAGCCACAGCATGATTTAGTTCCATGCTCTTTTTCAAAGTATCATTCAAAGCAAACAAAAATAGGAATGATATATCTAATTCATTTTCAATAATAGATTTACTTTCTCTCTGTCATTAATGGCCTGATCGAAAGCCTTTTGATTGATATCAGTGGGCTTTGATTCACGCCCAAGCTGCTGGGAGCAGGCTCTGTCTTAGCATTTTCTCAGAAAAGGACTATTTGAAGAAAGGGCCCGTTTATCTGATATACTAGCAGGGGGGAAGGGAGCAATAATTGAGAGGAATATTTGAAATTCATGAGAATCAAAAATTTCAAGGAGTTCCTAGTACTTTTCTTTGCCTATAATCCCCGTTTCTAAAAGATAACCCTGCCAAAACCTCCAACTCCTTTAAGACTAAAATTTGCCTCATTCATATTGAGAATTTATCTTCTGCAATCATTTTTACTTCGCACTCGGCATTCATGCTGTACACACTGTTGAAGTCAACGGGAGTCCTAGGGAAGGAACAGGTAAAGAATAAACAGCGCAGGTGAAAAATCTTTCAGTGTAGATCAGTATGCTGGAAAGTGAAAACAAGCGTATGCAGGTATAAAAAGTTTTGTAAGAAAAGAAGAAAGCTTGGTTAAAATGGACCAAGTAGGAGCTCAGGAACTCCAAATAGCTATAGTGCAATTCATACTGATTTGATAAGCAGCAGTTAGAAATACTTATGTGGCAAAGGCAATGATCACAGCTGAAAAAAGTGAAAGTAAGAATAAAAGCAATATACTGTCAATATATTTTTGCCCTTGAAGAATGGATCTACATATTGCCTTTGAGCGTGGAACAGCCCGGGTATGGCAAACTGTACAGCAGTGTATTCCCCTTTATTTCATATAAAAAGGGCTCAAAGCTGGGATTAATAAGGCACAAACCTGGGAAAAATAGAGTAGTTAACAAGAAATGAGTGTATTATTTATTAGATGTAACTTAGCAATTACTTCTCCTTTGTCCCCAAAATGCTCCAAAGCAAAATATATTTCCCACATTCTTTCCCCCATCCATTTCTTTTGGATAAAGCTGCCTTTGCTATAGAGATACAGTTGCTCAAGAACAGAATATATTGTGAACACAGCTAAATACAACATACAAAACAGAAATGCATTAAAATGTTACAATATTTAAGTAACGGAGTTAGACTTAGGCTATTGCAATGCCTAGGTGCTTTCTGAGAACTGCTTTAGGAATATCAAGCTGAGTTACTGTACAGGAGTAAAACACAACCAGCATTGTTAGGCAGGGTTAGCAATTGAGAAGGAGACATATTCAGGATATGTGGATAGGAGAGATAGCTATCAGCTGTAGGAGTCATCTTTCCTGATGTACCCACCCAGAACCTTGGAGAAGATTTTTCAGTCTGTATCAGTACTTCTGTGGCCAGTCCTTGAAATACTTTCACATTTAGCCATTGTGCATACTTAAACCTCATCCCACTTATCCTGTTAGGCTATGTTTTCTTTATATATTTTAAATTTTTTTTTACAACTGTTAAAAAAGATTCATGGTAAAAATAACTCACTATATGATACATATACCCAAAACGGTGTGATACTTTATATAATAAAAGATGAAAATAGTCACTTTCCATAATAAAAATAAGTTCTATTTTTTGTTTATTTTACAATATACTTAATATTCTTTTCTTCTTCTTCACTCTGCAAGTAAATAGGTCCCATTTTGATATCACTTCTGAGTCGATTAAAGTGGCAAGAGACCAAAAAATGGCTTATAAGCATTTTGAACAACCACATTCCACATGTCTCTCCAATTCTTCCATGAAGGAGGATCCATCTGCACACTGAAAGATGTATTTTCGCCTTTTGCTCCGGAGGGGAACGCAACACTGGCCATTACTACAGGTGCCATGACATTCCATGCGGGGCACTTTAGAGGTAGTAACGCATGATGTGTAGCCTTGCTCCTTATGGATTACCTCTCTAATGATCTCACCTTGGCATAGATTCTCTATTTGAAGACAATGGAGACAAAAGATGGGGAAGATGATAATTCATATTCTAAAAAACAGCCTTGTACATATAATACTTAATTAAGGTAAACAACACAACCATAATGTACAGGACTGCAGTTCTCCACCACCTTGCATCTGCTTGCAGAACATGGCGTGTGTGATGTATGATGCAAGGTGCAAGCCAGTAAAGAATTAAGCCCAGTGACTTCCTTCAACATATCTAGCAATGCTTCAACAATGCTACTCTACATGGACATTAACAATCTGGGCTTTGTCCAAGGACACTTGAAAAATTAAATGTGTCTGGTTTACCATTTGCCATTTTATTTCACCGCGCATTGGCTGAACATCCACAGAAATGCTGGATTCAGGAGGCAGGAGGGATAGCGCATAATCATGTTACAATTTATGGCTCTACTGACATATCAGTCACACCATAAATGTAATGTTTGCCAGGGCCCCAAGTCACATACGTGTCACAGAGGCCATCTGCTTATAATTGTCTATATACAATTGGGAAAGTCTATGGGCGTGTGCAGATGAAACGGGGGCCCTAAATTGAAGTGGTGGGTTTTAAAAAACACCAGTTCAATTTAGGGCTGATTAAACACCTGTGTCGTGCACGCACCCTACTGACTTACCTGCCTCTCTGGTGGGGAGGGGAGGGTGAGCTGCTGGTGGGTGAAGTGGTGCCTGGGCTGTGGGGGGGGTGATGGTGCTTCCCTCCGCAGCACCGGCGCTCCCTCCTAGGTTGCACCCGCCTGCAGGCACCCAGCACGGGCGGTCCCAGGGGGCACCGCAGCTGCGGAGGGAAGCACTGGGTCCCTGTGCAGCTCAGGCAGGCAGGCAGGCAGGCAGGCAGGCTCCAGGGGGTGGAAAAATAGATCAGGCTCGCTGCTTTTCTTGGGCGGAGCCTGCTTTTCCTGGCTGTTGCCAGGCTGCCTGCAGGCCTTCGCTCTGGGGCTGTAAAGGCAGCAAACAAAAACTCCTCTGAGGAATTTTAGTTTGCTGTGCCTCAAGTCATTTAAGGCGCATTACACTGCTGAATTTCCTATAGTGGCTGAAATTAATGTGCAATATGCCTCCGAGGTGTGCAAACACCAACACCAGTAAAGTGGTGCAAAAGCATTTAGCCCGCTTTAAAGTGTCGTGCACACATGCCTCTTATTTCGTCTACATACAGCCTATGACACTTTCCAATGAAATTTGCTATCTTTATAAAATATTATAGGCAATAATGGAGAGCAACTCTAGTTACTTGCCAGAGATGAGCAATTCATCCCTGGAATCATGCTTTCACATCTGAACATCTCTGGCCAAAAGGGAGCTGTCAGTATTCAGGGCAGAAAAGCAACATTATCACAGGGGTGGGTAATCTCTGAAAATGATGAAAGGGATGGTGACACAGCAAAAGTGTCTGTTCCTTTAGGTGCTTTCTCTGCAAACATCCCAACCAGATTCTGCAGAACTGCAAGATTCAGGAGGCAGGGGGTATAGCATGTAACCATAGAGCTATGTTCTTCCATTCATTTGGACCATTTCTGGCCAGCTCTCTCTCTCAACACTTTGTGTTGCTATGCTGCACTGATTTAGCCTCATGGGATTTCCACCTGCCTTTGTCTCACTGACAAGAGTTCAATGCAATATGGGTAAAAACAAACACAAAAGAAACATACAGCAAAGCAACATCTCAGGCACTGTGGCCAGGCATACCTCTGTCACAGTGCTCTCCACTATAGTTAGGATCACACTCGCAGTAAGGTTCCCCACGTTCTGAAAATTTACACTGCCCGTGGTTGCATTTCAGAATTCTGCAGGGGTTTGAGGAGTTGTTCTTCTTGTCGCAGTACATGCCAGAGTAACCCTCTGTACACTTACATGTGTAAGCAAAGTTGGTGGCTGTGCATTTGCCATGAAGACACCTGAGAAAAGAGAAAAGTTTACAGTTGGCTTGCACTTGTTGCTTTTGAACCTCAAAATCTTCAAGAATATTTGTTTTGGAGGCCTGAGCTCCTAGTTATGTTCTGGCCGGTATTCAAAAGAATTGTAGTTCTGTGACAGGCATACTTGCAGAAATTGCAAATTTTTAGAGACCACTGGATAAGATTTACTGAAAGCAAATATGAAATTAGTGATCAGGTACATTCTCGGGGGAATCTTAGCAAATGATACACTTTCCCCATTCAGGGATGAAACAATGCAATATATGCAAACAAAGCAGCTCATTGTTTCAGTCCTTGAAACAAATGGCCTGTGAACAATCTATGTGCCAAGGTTTATTCAGGGAAATTATTTTACAAATAGTTTCATATAAAGAATATATGTAAGAAAAATCAATGCCCTGGTGGAAAATCTGTAAACAGGAAAAGAGGTTAAATACCTCAGAAAAAACTGTGCATGCAGTTCTAGCTGAATGATTTCATGACTCAGGAGATCTGTAGTGGGTTTTTGGTGTTTCTGGAGAGGGCAAAAGAGATGATGTTCCTTGGGAGCTGGTTTGGGGAAGTAGAATAGATTCCCATTCAGAGAACAGACCTGGATCAGACTTTGGAATTGGGCAGGGAAAATGAGAGGGGGCATCTATGCCAGAGGAGGAAGAGTCACCCAAGCCTACAAATATTTTATATAGAAACCCCCTTGCCCACTATTTTATATAAGCCTTTGCCTGATCATTTTCATAGTCTTGGTATTTTAAATTATTCATATTTACACCTAGCCAGTTGGATATATGTACAAAGCAGGAAATGCTTAAAATAAAACCTCTTACGAGGTTGGAAAATAGAAGAAAGTAGTAATTAGTGGGGTCACAATCCCCTTAGAAAAAAAGAGGTGTTTTCAATATTACTAAACTAACTCTTACTCCTGGATTAATAACCCTTGGTATTAATCCCTGTAACTGCCCTTGGGTCCATACTCCTATTCCTCCACTTAGATTGGAAGTGTGGGAGTCAAATCCCTAACACTCTGTGGGGGACATGCAGGGTTTTTCTGTCTGGGGAAAGTTAAGATAACTTAAATGAAGGTGTGAAGTATATTAAGCCCAAGTGTGTATGCTCTTGCTCAGAAATGGAGTGAACTCATTTTGCTGGGGCTTAACCCTCTGTGGATTATAGGTGAAACTAACTTTAACTACTTAAAGTACCTTTCCTAATGCTCTCAGAGGGAATTGTAGGAGCTCAGCACCTCTGAAAATATTTGGCTTTGGCCGATAGGATGAAAAGTGAAATATCCACTCACTGCAGAAAGCCCTCCTACCAGCACCACGGTGAACTTACTTGTTGTTAAGGCAGGGGTCTCCAATTTCTTGGTCACAGAGTGGACCTGTCCAGCCTGGGTGGCATTCACAGATAACACTTGTCTTCTCTAGAGACCGGCAGATGCCATGCTTGCAGATGTTACAGGATTTGCAGCCAGGAAGGACTCCTAATGACTGCTGTGGTAGATCCTTAAAATCCTGCAGCTCATTATTAATTCGGACATCGTGGATACATCCATGAAAGCCATTTGGCATCCTATCAGGTCCATGGTGCAATGAAGACAGCCCTGTAGATGTTGGGATCCCTTCAAATAAAAAAAATGTTAAGGAATATTTACAATAAGAAACCATATCTAGAACTTCTACAGCACCATCCATTTGAGGATCCCAAAGCACTTTAGTAACTATTAAGAATGTCTTAGCTTGCCAGTGAAGAGCCATAACCTCTGAGATACAAGACAGTCAACACTACTTCACTATACACAGGCATTAATTAGCATGGGAAACAGTAACATGGTATTGAACATGGTATTGAATTAACAGTATCTAATAAAATCCAGATGGGCTTGGAGAATCTAGAACCCTAATACTTGAACAAGTACCTCAAGTGCTTTGATAAGCATAACCCAGGTAAAGCTATTTTGCATCTGATTTAAAACATGATCCTTTTTGATTCTTCATGGAAATAGTGTTATATTGTCACTTTTTAATGAAAAAAATTGTTTTAGTTCTTGCATGTGGTTTGACTTATAGTATCTTGCAAGACATATGATTCTACTTTTAAAAATAATATATTAAGGATGCAAAGGGGAGGACTCAACATTAAGACTTAACTCTGCTCCATTCTGCCTTTGCATTACAGAACTCTAATAACAGGATTATGTCACACTATCATTTCTATTAGACATGCTTTTCCATGCACATACATGTTTGCTTGTCCCTAGAGCTGCATGGATTGGAAATGTGAGATGTTCTTGCACCCTGCTACCAGATAATCTCATTTGCCCAATGCACTTTAATAATCCCTGACATTCTCAATACAAATCAATAAAAAGGTTCAGTTCTGATCAAGGCAAGTTTATCTAGTTTACCCATGTTTATGGGTAATCATTCAGAAGTTGTTTAGAAAAGGAGCATTAAAAAGGATTATGCACAAATGGCTTAAGTTCAGGAGCCACTCAAGTTAATAGAAGTTTTTACCACTGGCTTCAGTCAGCTTTGGGTCAGGCTCAAAGGCCTTATGGATCCATTAGGAACCTGCAGATATTTGTGTTTGGTTCACATTAGAGCCAACTGAAAAACAAGATTTCTATATCACAAAAAAAGTTGAGATTTCAACATGTGTTCCTTGGTCAATTGACTATTGACTTTTCTGGGCTATCTCCCTCTACTTCCGTCACACTGAACCAGAGATACTAAGCCTAAAGAGCCTGCTCAGCAACAGTTTAATCAAGCCTAGCATGTCTCTATAAACACTTTTGCTTTTGATGAACTGGCATTTTAGAATAAGTAAACAATTGGTCTAGAAGTTCCCGTATTAAACTAGCTAATTTCTTTTGCACCTCTGGGGAGACAAAAACACTTCAGAAGAGTGGAAGGTCTCTATCCATCCAAGTTTTCCTGCTATGCAGAACATCATAGGATCTTAGTGCTTGCTCTGCAAGACTCTACCTGTTGGTAATTTAAGGAAACAGTCACTAACAATGTGATGGGACATACTACTGGAATCATTTCCTTTTAATTTCTTATAGTCTTTATTCCAGGCATATCATTTTTTATATAATGAATGGAGATTTTTTACTGCCAGGAGAGGTCAACTCTATCAGAGGCAGACATCCCTAGAAAGTTAACTGCTCAGTTATTGACCAAACATACCTCCAATGTAGAGAGGGGTGTTGAGGTTGACTGAGGGTTGTTTCAGCAGTTTGCCAAGACTTCTGGGGGTTCCTTTATCCACAACCAAGTTCAGAGTCTGGTTCAGCATTACCAGCTCCACGCTGTGAAACTGCCCATCATTTACTGTTTCCACACTAAAGGGAAAAAGGAAAAGAACCAGAAAAGGCAACTTGCTATGATCTGCTTGCTTCTGTTCTAACCCTTAGAAAGAAAACCTCATACTACTTTCCACTTTGTGATTGGTTGCATTTTGTGCCAGATGTCCTGGATATAAGAATCTCAAAGGAACAAATTAAAGACTATGTCATCTCTCATACAATCAGTACATACAGATTTAACTGTTAGGATACTGACTAACTTAGATTTGGGAATGCTGGGACAACTCATGACACTGATTGGCAAGTGAATATACCTGCTTAAACATATGGCCAAAATGCTTTGCCAATAGCCAAGTAACCCTTCCAACTCCCCTGTGAAGTACAGAAATTAACTATTAAGTCCCTGTATTCCCCGAAAGAGACAAGTGACTTAGACAGACAGGCAAGCTAGAATACCAAATGCCAGAGGTGGGAAAGACTTAGGGGGTGCGTCTACACATGCACATTTACTGTGCAGTAACAGAAATTCCTGCACAGTACGGGCACATGTCTGCATGTGCATGCCTGTAATGTGCATGATGCAGGTACTAATTTAAGCCCAATTAGTTACTGCGCAGTAACACGGTGTGTGTAGACTGACTTGGGACTAACTTTAGTCCCATGTCATTCCACACACAGCGTTATTATGCTTTAATGCCTGTACATGTAGATGCTGACTTATTCCCACTTACTGTGCAGTAATTTACTGAGCAGTAAATTTAATCTGGCATAAATGCACGTGTAAACATGCCCACTATTTCTTCTGCTCAAATAACTAAAATGTCATTTATTCATTTACATAAAGAAACATCCTAATGCAAATGCAAGTCAAAGAGGGAAAGATGCTCTTCTGTTCAAAGTACTTCAGGGATTGAGGTGGGGGAAGGGAAGGTGTCAAGTGAGAAGATACTCAATTTTTGTAGAGTTGAGGACTAGTGGCCACCTAAATTAACATGACACCAAAATTCAACATGTATATACAAGTATGCAGCTGACAGAGGTGTAGTGAACCCCTGTATTGCCTTGGGCAGACTGCTGACCACTGGAGAGCTGGGATGTGTATTGGGGGTGTCTTGGCAATAGCTGCTGCTGAGGAGCAAGTTGCAGCAGGGGTATTAGAGTACCTTTCTCTCCCCCCAAGTCCCCTGAGAGTCTTTGCTATGGCAGGTACAGCCCAGCCATAGAAGCTAGGCACCCCTGTGCTTAGTGGTGTTGTTGCAGCAGCCTCCTGGGGGAGCTCCCTAAGGAGGATGCTCTTGGTGCCTTGTTTACACTACTGGGCACAGGGCTGCCTGGCTTCTATGACTGGACTGTGCCTGCTTTAGCAAAGGGACCCTCTACATGTGCAGGTAAAGGCGTGATTGGGACTGGAGGCAGCCCGGTCCTGGGCTCCCTCTGCATCAGCAGGAAGCAAGTTCTTCACAGCTAGGAGCCCCCATGCATCCCCATGGCTGGGAGACTGCCGCTGCTATGATCTCCCAGCTGCAAGGTGTTCCATGCATCCCTGGGGTTGGGAGATCACAGCAGTGTCCTATTACCAAGAGCCCCACAGCTCTGAATACTGGATCCTGGCAGCACCCAGCAGCTGTGGACTCCAGGTCCTGGCAGCTGTGGGGAGGGAGGGGGGGCAGCGATGCATAGTTCTCAGTTGCAGGGAAGAAGGGGAGGTGGCACTGCATAGTCCTCAGCTGCCAAGGGCTGGTCTGAGACTCCCCTCAGCTACAGGACTCCAAGCCACAGCTGTGCATGGTGCATCCCTGTGGCAGAGAGCAGTCAGCTAATTGGGTTCCCAGCCGCAAGGGCAGACCCTGCTACATATGCAAATTAAAGCTGGGAGCAACCAGCTATAAAGTTATTACACATTTTCCAGCAATAACTTTACAGTTTTTTATGGCACAACAGTTAATTAGCATGTGTAGGTGGTCTAAATTAATTGTGCCATTATGTTGGCAATTGTGTGATGTACGTAACGTGTGGAGGGAGCCACAGACTCCCAGAGGGGCAAAGAGTTTCTGATGATCTCTAAGTTGGCACTGAGGGTAAGTGCCCCACTAACTCCTCTAGTTACACTAATGGGTTCACATGTAATTAGTACTTTGATTTTCATGTAAGCTAGGCATGGGATCATTTAAGTATTTACACAGGCAGATCACCACATAAAGTCAGAGCAATCGTACTTAAATTAAGAGCACAGGTATACACTAAAACTTTGCCCATTCATTAAATGTAGTGAAACCCACTTTATTTTCAGAGCAATTTCAGCTCTAAGGCCTTTAGGCTGCACCTTTAAAATCCCTCAAAACGATTTAGTAGCTTCATTCTACTCCGAAGAACAGGCTGAGAGGAATGAGATAGGGGCAACAAGGCCCAGGAATTAACTGGTCTATAAAAAAAATCAGAGGATTTTCCAAATCTGCTGATTGTTATGGAAGTGAAGGTATTTTTCTGGTGCTTTAAATTTAATGAAACATTATAGTCTCTACACACATGTAAGCATTAATACATAAGGAGAAAATGACAGCAGTGGCTACAGCAGGTGTTAAAATGTGCTATGTAAACTTCCCATACAGTCAGCCTTCATAGAATCAAAGAAGTAGGGTCTGAAGGGACCTTGCAGATCTTCAAGTCTGACCCCCTGCCTGGGCAGGAGAAAAATAACAAGATATATAGGGCATAGGTACCTGGAGGGGGGAACACAATGACCCCCTGCACTCCAATAAGAATTCCTTCCCTGTCACTTCACTCACCCCTACTTGACCCTGCCAGGACTTGAACTCAGATCTGCCACATTGCAGGTAAAAACTCTACCACATAGCCACCACTGCTGTTTAACCAATACATCTTATCCTTGACCTGCAAAAACCCTCTTCCAGTCCCACACCTCTCTTTAGCACGCACACTAGTTTTGTGGTGTCTCTGCTGTTATTTTATGGACAAAAATACAAGACATGGAAGTGAAGCATTCTGAAACACTGCTTAGTTTAGAAAATGGATTTTGGGGCTGTTCACAAAAAATATGCACCAGGGAGTAAAAAAGTGAAAATGTAGTTAATTAATTTTTTATTCCAATTCAAATGGACCATATACCCAGCATCATAACTGACTAATTTAAAGGTAATTGAGCCACTGATGTAAAGAGGAATTCTGGCACTAGCTTGAGTGGGAACAGTACCAGATCTGCATGGAACAAGATACCTGAAGGAAGAAATGACCAAAATGTACTTATGAAATAATTTCAATGATATAACATTATTACAACAGGCCTTGTATTACAGATAACATGCCAGCCATGTCAGGCAGAAGTCAGCATTACATAGACTGCTGAGAAAGACCAGGGTAATGTGAGGAGGGATCCGAGTTTTCTGTTTCCCAGGGAAAAACAGAGTAAACCGTGGATTTTACCTTTTACTGAAGGCAAACAGATTTCTCATTTTACTGGAGTAACCTGCAAATTTTGCAGTTTTGCCAAGAGCCCCCTGTAGGCTGACAGAGGCTGGAGGGAGTGGGAGGAGGGCGGTCAGGCATATGGTGCCATGTGCATGTACGTGCACATGGCCCCAGGAAGCCTGGAGAGCAGCTCCCACAGGTAAGTAGGCAGGAGGGATTGAGGCCCCCATAGGGAGGGACTTGGGCAGGGCTGGGGTTGCTGCCCAGATGGGCAGTGCCTGGGGTTTGAGGCCCATGGCTATGATGCACAGTTGCAGGGCCCTGGTGGGGAGGAGGACGGGACTGCGAGCGACTCATCCGGGGACCGGAGTCAGCTCCCTGCTGCTGCATTCACCCCCAGGGGGCAGGGGAACGTATGACCCCCTGATCTGTGTGCAGCATGCAGGGCTGCGAGCTGCCCGCTTCAGCTCGGGCTCCCACCTTGCTGCCCTGCCCCGGGGCCTCTGCATCCCAGTATGTGTGACTTGGTGCTGCAGGGTACAGTGGAGTTGCATAAGAACCTACCTGATGCTGCAAGCCCCGTGCTGGCCTGGCCCCTGCATGCAACCCTGTACCACCTCCCCTGCTGCAGCTGTACAGCCAGGGGACACACCACCAGGGCAGTGTGGAGCTCACAGTGGCAGGCAGCTCCTTGCGCAGCTCCGCTGTGCTTTGCAGCACTCGGCTGCACATGCTTGGCTGCAAAGGCCCTGGGGGAAGGCAGCAGGGTGGGAGCCTGAGCCTGAAGTGGGCAGCACACTGCCCCATGCCCCAAGCACAGATCTGGGGGGCACAGGTCCCCCTGCCCCCTGGGAGTGTTCACCATGTCAGGAGGCCAGCCCTGCTCCCAAGTCCGCAGCAGGCAGGCAGCCGGCAATGGGGGGGAGAGGTGGGTTCCACTCAGCTACAAGAGCTGCCACCTTCTGCCAGGGGCAGGGGCCTAGAGACCCGGGTCCCTGGCCTCATAGCCTTGGCAGCTGGTGGCCCCCTCTGGCAGGGCTGGGGGAGCAAGGGGCACTGGCAGGGCTGTGGAGTCTGTGGGAGGGGAGCAAGGTGCAGGAGCAGGGCCAGGAGGCTGTGGGGGGTAGTGAGGGGCACCAGCAGAGCTGTGGGGTCTGTGGGAGGAGCGTAAGGGGCACGAGCAGGGCCACGGGGGCAGGGCCTTTCATTTTAACCTTGGATTTTAAGGGTTTTACCAGAGAATTTGCAGTTTTTTATCAGGGAAAACCAGAATCCTTGGTGATGAGTGAGGTTTGCCGCTCATTCAGGAGATAGCGCTCTGAAAAAGGACTGAGCTGATGTCCTGTATCATTCTGCGGGAAGCAGCTAAGGGTCTTTTAGTTGAAAATGGCCATAAGCTGATGTGTCTATTAAAGATCAAGGCCTATTTTATGAACTAGGAGGTTTTTAGATATCATGGTGATGACCAGTATAAAAATACATGGATAGACATACAGTCAATGCACACTGAAATGATGTGAAAGCACAAAACAATTCCCATGGAAATGATGCTTACTGCTATACTTTCTGGCAGTTGCATGTCCAGTGAGTTGTGTGTTGTGGGTGGTGAA